GCCGGCGCCGCTGCCCGCCCGGGGCCCGGGAGCGGAGGCCAAGATGTCCGTGCCGGTGAGTACCGCCCGCCGGCCGGGACCCCGGGTTTGCCGCCCCTGGCCGGGCCTGAGACCTCGCGCCGCCCGCTGCAGGCCTAATGCCGTGGGGGGCTCCGGGCTGGGGGCGGAGGTCACCCCACCTGGGCCTTCCCGGGCTGGGCATGAATGGGGGTTAGCGTGGGGGCGGCTTCTCTGCCCCTGCCTTTCTGTGCATCCTCTCACAGGAGCCGGCTCGGCCTGGGTTCCGTGCTGTCCCCTCCGGGACCCCCCTAGGACGGGAGGCTTGGCAGGGGCCTTTGTTGGCCCCGGGAAACCCCTGGGACGGCCGGGCCAGGCCAGAGTCCGTGCTGTCCCGCGGAACCCCCTCCCCCCACCGGGATGGCCAAGCCTAGTGGGGAGAGGTGTGTGTCGCTCACCGGGAGGCCCGCTCCAGGATGGCTGGGCCGGGTGAAGGGGGGAGGTCTGTGCTGCCCCCAGGAAACCACCTGGGGTAGCTGCCCCGTTGTGCTCCATGGACGTCCCCGCGATGGCCAGGCCTGGGGCCGGGGGTGTGTCTCTCCCGGGACAGCCCACCCCCAGGACGGCCTGGCGGAGTGCGGATCTGTGCCAACCCCCAGGAAGGCTGATGCGCTCACTTTCCTGGGAAGTTTTCCTCTGGGTGCCGGACCGGCCCTTTCCTCCCTCCTAGCCATGGGGGCTTCTCTTCTCGCCTGTCACCCCCTCCTCCTGGCCCAGCCAGGCAGGCTTGGCCAGCTCCCAGGCCATCATGGCTCCACACTTAGGCCTGCATCTGGAGGCATCGGGGCGCCTCCTAAGGGTGGCAGGTGATCCTGGCCACCCCCAGTCACCAGGCCTCAGGTGCAGGCCCCAGCCCTCTTTACAGATGGACAGACTGAGGTAGGTGCCCACATCCTGCGTCCTACCCGGAAGGGGCGCCATCGAAGGCTGGGCCATCTGTGGCTTTCAGCCATTGTTTCTCTGCTGACTTAGGGTCTTTTCCCTCTGACAGGAAGGGGCAGTGGGCCGGAGTGCCTGCCCACCTGACCGCCTTCCTGGGACTGCGCCTCACTCCTAGCCCCATTCTTAGGGTGAAGCAGACAGTGGGGGCTTCCTGGCAGAGCAGTGGCCTCTTAATGAACCACCGTGGAGTGTGTGGAGATTACAGAAGGTGCTGTGTTAAGTGCAGAGCGTTGTTATTATGGAATCAGAGACCTCAGCTCCTGCCGCCTCCAGAGCGGTAATACAGAGTTACAGATGAAAAAAGTACGGCTTCCAGACTATGCTGAGGTGAACTCCACACCCCCCCACCGCTCCCCCCACACCTGCGTGTTCGGGTTCAGAGCATAACTGCCTCATCTTTAGAAAGATAGAAAGAAGACAGAAAATGCCTGTCTTCTCTCCTGCTCTGCTGTCCTGCAAAGCTCTGGATCTTTTCTGGCCCAGGGCATCAAGGGACCTACCCTGACCCTGTGGGCCCTGGCTGGAGGGGAAGTGGACCATCTGAGCCTGCTTGAGGGCCTGGGGCTTTAGGGCAGTAGTGAATGGGGAATGTGACTCAGGCCACATCACAAGCTGGGTGGGTCTCAGTTTGCGAGGTCTGGGCTTGATTTGGTTTGGTTGTCCACAGTCATAGCAGAGGTCTGGACCTAGAGTTAGGGTGGCAGCCAGACCCCTTGTCTTACAGGACTTTGGGCAGCCTTCCTGGGCTCTGTACCTCAGTGGCCCCGACTGTAAGGAGAGAGGTATGGCAGGGGGGTGGGTCTGACTTAGGCACTGCTGTGGACGCCTGCGTAAAGACCTGGAGCCGTGGTCTGCACGGTGGGTCCCCTCCACTGCTATAGCTCCAAGTCACTCCCCACACTCCGACCTACAGCCGCGGCCCTCGGGGGTTCTGCTGGGGGTGGACAGAGGCCTCACCATCTGCCCCTGGTGGCTGGGCTGTCAGAGGAGCCCAGCTCTCTCCTGGGACCTTGGGCAGTGTATGAGCTGGTGGGACTGGGAGGAGAGGTTCATTTTTGGAGCTGCTGTGAAATGTTCTGAAAATTGCTTTCCTGTGCTTGTGAGTGGTGAGGCCCCTCGGAGGCTTCCAGGCCGAGCTGCCTCCTTAAGCCCTGCTCTTGGAACCCAGAGTGGTGACTGCCCATGTGGTACTCACGGATGTGTTTCGGTTTTAAGCATACCCGTTCATTTGGGCAATCTTTTCCTGGATGGGGCTGACGCAGGCACTTTGGCCCATAGAAAATACAAGATGCTTCCAAATGGAATGGGAGGTGGTGGCAGGGAGAGAAGAGGTTGGGATGGGCCAGGTTGAGCTAGAGTGGGGTCCTGTGCGGGGATTAGCTGATCTCACTCAGATATTTGACCCTCATGGGCTCTCGGGCCCAGAGAGTCATCCCGAGGCTCTGCTCAGTTGCTCCTTCTTCTTGCCTGAGCTGAGGGAGGTGCTCACATAGCACCTGGAGATTTACTTCCTGGCCGTTCCCTGACATTGGCCTTCTTCTTGGGCATGGCCATCTGGCACCCCAGGCCTGTCTCTTCCCTCCAGTCAGGCAGGGAGCATTTGAAAGGAAACCCGCCGTGCCACCCCCCTGAGGCCCCTGGTGGGCATTGGCATGATTCATGTTTAGGAGCGGCAAGATGCGCTGTCAGGCAGGAGGCCAGCTTCCAGCTTGTGGAGAAGTCCCCTGATGTCTGTTCCTGCCACTCGTTTCCTGTCTGTGAAATGGACCCTACCCTGCTAGCCTCTCTCCTCCTTTTTATTTTATTTATTCATTTTCATTTAATTAATTTTTTATTTTCCTTTTTAAAATTATTACTATCTTTTCCTCTGCTCCTTTACTGATTGACGGTGGGTCCTTTCAAGGAGTGAAGGCGCTGATGTGTGTGCTAGGAGCTGGGCTCTGGGCTTCACAGGCTCGCAGAGGACCTGTGTCTTGCCAGGTTGCATGGCCACTGAGAGACGAAGTCGGGGCGGGAGCCCGGTCTGGCAGGATGCAGAGCCGGAAAGTGAGCGTCATCCTGCATGGCCTCTCTAATTGTGGGGGCTGCGGCCTGTTGAGCTGTCCACAGAGGCCAAGGCTGCTGAGAGCCTGACCCTCTGCTTGTGGCTTTTCAAGTATGAGTTTGTGTAACCCCTTCGGTACCCTGGGGAGATAAGGCAGCTGGGACTCGGAGAGGCCAGGCAGCTTGCGCCGGCTCTGCCGCAGGGTGGGTCTAGCCCCGTGAGGCCCCAGCCGTGGTTGGTGGAGATCAGTGGACCAGGTGTGGCACCTGGTTGCACCTCCACCAGCGATCCCAGGAACCAGGGGTGGCTGGTTCTATGCCAGCCGGCGCTGTGATGGGACAGCTGGCCAGGAAGCCAGGAGGCTCTGCCCTGGGCTCACTGCTGGGCTCACCGCTTCAGGCTGTGGACGGCTGAGGCCCGATGTAACGGGCTCAGAAGAAGACAGTGGGGAGAGGTAAGGTCCTAGTCCAAAGTCCTCTGCTCGGGCTCCAAAGCACCTGGCTTGCCCCTCCTCCCACCTGGCCTTGGCTCTGCCTGGCCCTTCCTCTGCAGGAAGTGATCTCCGGCCACTGCCTTGCTCACCAGGTCACTCCTGCTCACCCGTGCTCACCCTCAAGTGCTCAGGCAGAGGGCACCATTCTGCACAGCCCTCGGGGGCTCGCATCTGTGATTGTGTGTTTATTGCTGGGGTTATTTGGTTGCTGTCAGGCTCCCTCACCAGGCCGCAGGCTTCCTCGGGGTAGGTCTCAGGCCTGCTTGGCTCCTGTCTGCCTCATTGCCCTAGCTTGCCCAGGCTGCCTGCTGAGCATGTGGCACGCGGGGAGTGCAGAGGAACCCCTGCGGACAGACAGCCGGGTCCCCATGCAGAGAGCCTGGCGTCTCAGCTGCTGTCCTGGAAGCCTGGTTGGAGGCTGAGTGGGGCTTCCCAGAGAGGCTGCTTCAGGATGGGGAGGATTTTTGGTGAGTTGAGGGCAAGGGCTCTAGAATGAATCATGCTGGCTAGTCTACACCTTGAGCTGTTACTGAATCTCTCTGAGCCTGTCTCCCCATCTGTATTACAGGGAGGTTAACAGCACTAACTCGTGGAGTTTTGTGAGAACTTGGCAAGGGTTGCAGAATGCTCTTAGTAAGAGGCTAATAAGTCATAGCAGCTCCTTTGGTTGAGGTTATGATCTTTATCCTGCAGCACTGGCTGGTGCAGTGGCCGAGACCCACTCCTGACTTGGGGCGGGGTGATCAGCTCTCTGTGGCCTGCCCAATCTTCCCCCAGTGGCCCTTTCTTGATGGTTAGTGTGTTTCCTGCTAAGGCCTTAGCATAGGATGACCCTAGACCCTCGCCTGCCCCACCTTGCCAACAGGACCCCTGCCTCTTGAACTTTGGTTGGGCAGGTACTTGTCCTCACCCCACCGACAGACAGTGGCCTCCATTAGGGCCACCAGCTGGCCCACCGTGCTTCAGGCCAGGTGGACATGCCCTGCACTGAGTGCCCCCAGGAGTGGGTACAGAATTGCAGGCAGTGGAAGCCCTGGGGCCCTGCAGTCTGTCCTCAGGTATGATCTGCAGCAGCCTGCTCAGTAAGGGAATAGCCCCTCTACAAGAAGGAGGCACTTTTAGGGGGTGCTCAAGCCCGTGAGTGAGGCAAGTGGGCCACAAAGGCAGCACCCACTGAGCCCCCACTTCCCACCTCCAGGCATGAGGCTGTGTTCCCTAGGTCAGGGGTGCCTGGGATCCTGCCCCTCTTCCCCCACCCCCCCATGTCAGTGGGTCACTTTCACCACTGGGTCATCTTCACCTCCCCAGCCTTTGACTTGGGCTTTGTCACAGCTGCCTGCTTTGATTTCATCCTGGTCAAACCCCATTGTTTCTTTGGTTTACTCTTAGTCACTGTTTGCCAGGCCATTTTCTCCCTCTCTTCAAGAAAAGAAAAGTGGCTGGGGACAGGTTGGGAACTGTGGTAGAGGTTGTGTTGGATGCCTGCTCTGGCCAGATTGATGGTCACAAGTTGCAGCTCTAAAATTAATCCCTTCCCTAAAGAAGATTAGAGGCTGAGGGGGCTTTTCAGTCATCTAAATTTATTATTTAAACTCCTCCAAGTTCCAAGAAGGATTTGAAGCAGATTATAGTGAAAGACACAAATAGTCTGGGATCATCAAAAGATCCAGAACTATGTAATGTATGGGGAAGGTAGACATACATAACTTTAAGCTCCCTGACAGCCAGGGCAAAAAGGGTAACACGGTGGGTTTAGGATTGCAATACCTATTTTTGTATTCTTAATTCCATGTATTTTTTCCTCTATGCTTTGTTTTATTTTTACCAGTGAGACTCTTTTTATTAAGGAATTTTACATCTATTGAAATGGACAGATGTTAGATGAGTTTTGACTAAAGCAGACCCCATGTCACCATCAAGCAAATCAAGATACATCTCCATCATCTCAGAAAGTTTGAAAGTGTCCCTTTTGCAGTCACCTGTCTCCAACCCTCTGTAAGGTGGCCAGCATTCTGATTTCTTGCATTGTGGCTTAGTTTATTTATCTTAGAACACACTAGCACGAGCATGTTGGGGGAGGGGCAGAGGGAGAGAGAATCCCAAGCAGACCCTTAGCTGAGCAGAGCCCAGCGGGGCTGGACCTCATGACGCTGACATCATGACTTGAGACCCAAACCAAGAGTCGGATGCTGCACTGATGCAGCCCCTGTTCTTGAGCTTACTGTAAGCGGAAGCATGTAGCGATGTGCTCTTTGAGGCCTGGCTTCTTTCATTCAGTGTAACAGTTTTGAGATTTTCATCCGTGCAGTGTGTATCAAGAGTTCTTTTTTCTCTGCCATGTTGAGTAGTGTTCTATTTATGAGTATGAAATTATGTACTTAGCCCTTCTCTTGCTGATGGATATCTGTCTCTGGTTTTGTACACTGTGTATTTTTAGGTAGTGGAACCCTGGCATTGTTGGCATAATAGTCCATTTCAGTATTTTATAAGACCCGATATCCAGGGATGCCTGGGTGGCTCAGTCAGTTAAGCGTCTGCTTTCAGCTCAGGTCATGATCCCAGGGTCCTGGGATCGAGTCCCGCATCAGGCTCCCTGCTCCGCGGGGAGCCTGCTTCTCCCTCTGCCTCTGCCTCTCTCTCTCTCTCTCTATCTCTCATGAATAAATAAATAAAATCTTTAAAAAAAAAAAGACCCGATATCCAAGCACGTGCGCCTTGAGGCATGCCCAAAGAGTTGTCTGCGCGTCCAGATCCTGGGTCCCCCCGAGTTACATCTTGTTCAGGGAGTGGTGTGACCACACACCCTTCTGTTCAGCCCTGCCCAGGTACCTGGGGTTTGTGTTCCCTCTTTCTAGGTTGCTCGAGAGGTGAAGTGTCTTAGGTTTTGCAGTCGGCTGTGTTTATCCAGTCCATTCCAGAGGTCCTGGCAGGGAGACACCTCTAGAGAGCAGGAGGGAGGAGAGTATGGAGCCTTACCTGTATGCTGCCCCCATTGCTGCACCCTCTCAGGTCTGGACAGATTCCTGGGCTCACTCTTTGTCCCGAGACACCGCCCTGGGCAGATACTCTGGGCTGCTCCGCTTTAACTCTGGGGAGCCCAGTCTGGTGGACACCCCCTGCCCACTCAAGGAAGGGGGGGAGGTTGCGTGAGAACCATTCCCTGCATCCAGGGCACTGCACACGGAGGGAGTTGGCGAGCCTTTGCTATTTTTACTAATCTTTACCATTATTTTTCTACATAATGA